GCTCAGGAACAGCATTGCCACAAATCTCATTAACATTTGCTGACACATTTTGAGGTCACATGCATTATCTTTGTAGCCACTGCAACACGTCTCTCAATGCTGCCTGTGCTTTGTCATGTCAGCACCAAGTAACCAGCAGCAATTGTTTCCATATAGGACAAGTAACACTATGGGATTGCACAGCAAATGTGTTACATAGAGATAATTTGTGTGCAGCTGCATTGGGTGGGAAAAAATTTTTTTGAGATCAAAACAGTGGAAAGAAAAAGCAGATACTCTGTTCATGGATATTTATGCCTGCCAACAAGTTGATTGTAGCGATGGCCTCACAGTCCCACCAGAGCACTGAGGGTGTCAAACTGCGTGTGACAGGCACGACCTGCCCGCCGGCAGCAGTGTCATGTGCTGTGCCTGCTCCTCTTAGTTCTGCTTGAGAAACATCCCTGATTCTGCAAGGCACAGGCAAAGGTAAGAGGACAGGAGGCAGGTCAACACTTCTGAGTGCATCAGGCTGTGGAGGGAGGTGGATTGACATAGCACGTTGAGATCGTCAGCAGCCTGAGCCTGTAAATATTTGCTAGCATGAAGCAGGTATCCCTGTGCCAGAACCATGTGTATTTTGTTGAAAGGTCACCCAGCTCTGGGAGGTGTTGTCAGCCTGCTCCTGCCTGCCCTTCCCACCTGCAGATGTCAGGGCTCTGCCAAGCCAGGCTGCTGGAGGCCACCAGGCCACCTCTGGAACTGGACACGTTGGGAAGGACAATTGTTCCCTTACTGACAGTCAGAGCAGGCTGCTAAGAACCTGAACCCATCACCAACAGAAAACACACTTGGAAACACTGTGCCCCAAGTCAAAAGGGAGCCTGGAGAGCTGATGCAGGCAGCTTGATGTATCAACTCTCCTTCAGCTCACCGACAGCAGAGGGAGAGCCACTTCTTTTTGTGTTTGGTTGGTTTGTTCTTACATAGCATGTGATTGTTTTGTTTTTTTGAGTTTTTTTTGACAAACACTGACTTCCAAGCACAAAATCTCTAATGTGGAATGACAGAAATAAAGTGAGAGGTGAATAATCACCCAGTTCTTTTTCAGTTGTGATTTTGAGGGGCAAAGTGAATGGCCACATTCCATTTCAGACACCTTACTCAAACTAAGTAGTGGAGTCAAGTTCTGCTAAGCCTGCCTAAATGAGCTGCTGTTCTGCACCCTATGCAGCATACAGGAACAAAGTTCCTACCTACAAAGCAAATGGTTATTAAAGGCACTTCAGTGCTGGCAATAGTTTGAATTGAACAAACCATGATAGACTATAATCTGTCAGATTATGTGGTTTTATCAAAATCAAAACACTTTGCAAAATTAGGTCAATCTTATTGGAATTTTGTCTGGGGTAAAATGAGAGAAAAAGCTTTCCCAGAATTGAACTACCCCATTGCAAGATCTTTTTGGAAGAAGTGTGTTGAGGCTTTCTTTACCAGCCTAAAAGTATGCAATAAAAATGAATGTACTATTTAAAAATTAATTGTTGCAGATTTTAAACAATTGGATTGGAAATACCGAACAGTTTTACCACATGATAATGGAGCGAGGGTGATTTGCCTTCCTTAACTTTCCGCTCTGGAATATTTCAACACTTCTCTGTTAGGCTCAAAGTGAATGGGAAAATCAAATTTCAAATACACATCATCTTTCATGAAATTATCTTACATCCTTCATAAACAGCATGATTGCTGCTCCTCTTGGAAGAGACATCAGCTATTGTAAGGAGCTTCTTTTTTTTTGGGAACAAATACTTAGACTAGGAATGGTGTTCAGGGCCTGACTTGTGGACAGAGTGTTTATGGAGCACAATCTGAAGGATACTTTAGTTGATAGCAGGGTTCCTCTGGGTTTCTGGGCCTCTAGGTCACATGCAGTGTCCATTTTTGTAACACCCAGTTCCATAGTGGAAAGAGACAAAATCACCCCTGTGATAACCTACCAATGCATCTGCTTTATGCTTTAGCTTCTTGGCCTCTTGCATGTAAAAATCCGCATTGTGAAGCCTAAAGAGACAAAATCAATTAATTCAAGTATTTGCTTTCATACAATTGGACAAATATTGTCAGAAAAATTTGCTGACTGCTTTCAAGAACAATTTTGACATATATGCCCACTTATCTCTTTAAATCTTAACCTGACACCAATCTGAAGCTGCTGTATGCAAAGATATGATGGGTGACCAGAATGTAAAATAAGTAGCTGTAGAAACTGGCCACCCAAAGGACCCATTAATGTGTGCTGAACAGAGAAAAAGGAAAAATATTTTAAACTAATTAAGCATAAGAAGTTTCCATTAGAGGAGCTAAAATGAAAAAATGAAGAAGAATTACCGTGAACCAGCATTCATGATCTGAAAACATTTATCAACAGAGTCTTCATTAATCAGTGACAACACTTCATTTGTAAAGATTAAAACTGTGTGTGCCTTTGTGCAGCACTATTCACACAGGTGCTCAGTGCCAGCACTGTAATCAAAGATACTCTCTTTCGCTGGGAGTTCTGCTTGCATGAAAATCCCAACTACAGACCGTGAAGCTAGCACAGAGTCAATAAAACTTACACATCATCAAATGTTATTTTGGGTCTTCTGGGCTCAGAATTCCCATTGGAAAGCGTTGGCATTGCAGACCAGATGTCTGGTTCTAGATGGCTGGTGTCAAGCAGAGTGTTGGCTGTTGGTGTATTGTGAGATTCTTCTTCCTAGAAAACACAGGACTATTATTAACTCTTTGTAGTTCAAACAAACACTTTCCAACAATGTAAGTGCTCACATCCACCCCCACCCCCAAAAATAGAAAATCCTCCAAACAAACAAAAGACTAAAGCACAAATTAGCACTCATATATATATCCAACTACATCCATGTTACCCCACCAAACCACCCTTCCACTCTTTGGAACATAAGTCTAATGGACTAATTAGGCAGTATGTTTCCATTTCTGAGCCCTCATCTGAACTCATTAACTTACACTTTTAGATGTAATTTTTAGGTGTAATTTTCAGTGTTACTGACTAGAGACACTGGTTAAAGCAAGGGTGGGGAGGTCTAATGCAGAATTGCTGGACGTAAACTCAACTTTCTTCAAGGTGCAGCACACTAATGTAACATTTCTTACTATATTATTAGGAGCTAACTGCAAGGTGACTGAAGAGTGTGCATGGATTTCCTCACCATTGCCACACAGAACAGAGAAAAGAATGGAAATCAGAAGTCAGGATTTGTCACTTTGCATTCATTAAAATCAGAAGCATAACAGAAGCATTTAAATAAGGCAATTGCAACTTTCAAGCTTGGTCCACAACCAGATAAACTAAATCACAGATGAACCAATGTACTAGGGAGAGAAGTCTAACCTATTTTAGAAGAAAAATATTTCATGTATCAGGATAATAGATTAACCAAGGATAAATCTGACTAGAGATGCTGGGATGAGAGGAAGAGGCCCTGCTGTTTACATAGCATTGTTTATTTGCTGACATATGCAGTTCACTTTGGCATTGATTTCAGTTGAAGGCATGTGTATTACTGTCGCAGCTTGAAGTGACACAATGATATCAGAAAGCAACAGGGATGAATGAATAAGGTGAAGCGATTTGTCACCTATGATCCAATGCAACTTGTGAGTTTTACTATTACAGTGCAGGGCAACAACCTCTCTCAAAGCAGTGAACTGTGAAAAATGGGGCTATGCATGTCCTTTTCTGTGGCAGAATTTTCTTCTTGTTTTTAATTTTGACAGTGACACTAAGATACAGTTTGATAAGAAATGATATATTTGAACTCTAGAGGGAGGACTGTTTTCTAAAATGGGCCAAACCCCTGAAATTTCCCTGTTTAGCCAAAAAAGCTACAAACTGATGTGAAATTTTGCTTTGTTTTAGTGAACTTGCTATGCTGTTTTGGCTCTTTTTCATGTATTTTCAGCAAAAAGCCATCTTAATCTGGTGAAAGCAAACAATAAAGAATTGTCTGTGTGAAAACCATTGATGGGGAGATGACCCTAACAGAGTGACGTTTTCCTGGGGGGGGAAACAACCACCTATTTATGCAGTATCTAAAAGCTTATACACAACTCATGGAGATTAGGTGTAAATAAATTTTATTGTTGTGAGCCTGCAAACCTGAGAGAAGATATTAACATGCTGAGTATGCTATGGACAAGTAGCTTTCTCTTAGATTTTTATTGTTTGTTTAGTTCAGGCTGCAATACTCAGTATAGTTACAGTGTTAGTTCTGGATGAGAATTTGGGATCATTATTCAGGTGATATTCTTGAAATTTGTTTTCAAAATGTGTCTTGCAGCTACAGAGTTAAGAAACTAATTGCAGCTAGTTGGTGGCTGCGAAGGCTCTTCTCTGAGGCTCAGAGGGGGTTTCAGGGAGTGAACACAGCATAAGTAGATGCCTAATGGGAACCTAAAAACAGAACTTGCAGGAGTTGCTTATGCCTTGCTCTGCAAAGATCCACTCCCACTGACCTTGAGTGGGGCTACCCAAGCATTCAGAAATAGATACTGTGGGGAAAAAAATCAAACAGAACAAAGCAAAATTAACTTTATTCTATCTTGTTCACTTCCAGCAACTGAGGCTGGCTACTTACACAGATTCCTTTGGGGTTAGAAGAGGATTTGTTTTCATTCTTTCTGTGTTTAGAAACAGAGGAGGAAGAGCTGCTGGTCTGTGAGGTGTTGGTGATGGTGGTCTCTTGGCTGAAGGAGCTGTTTTCACTGCTGTGCCGTCGGTGCACAGGCTCATCCAAGAGTGGGGATAACGGAGGAGGGAACAGCTTCTCTTCTCTTTTCTTTGTCACCTTCTTCACTGAGCCACCATTGCTCCTGGGACACAGATAAATAGCAGTTGCACTTCAAGAACCTTGGTTAATCCTCCATAGCACAAAGCTCTAGATTTTATTTACTGGGAAGCCAGCTCTGCCCTGAAATCTGTCCTGCAGTCCCCATGCCCTAGGAGGTAAGTCACAAGGGGACAGACAGTGAAAACATAAGAGCTGCCTCTGCCTTTTCAATGGCTGCAGAAACCTTCTGCTTTGGAGGACAACTTGCAGTGCATTAGTACAAATTGCACCCAATTTAAATGCTAATTTCAGTCAGTCTTCATTTGAGAGGTCATAGAGGTTCTGACTCAGCAAAGTGCTGGGAAGTTTTATGCACAGGGTTAGTTCTTTGACATCAAGTATGACTATTTATGTGTTTAACATTAAGCATCTTTTTAAGAGGTGGATTAAGGCCCACATAAGCAACCTTTGCAAAAAAACCCGTATAGCACATGGCATATGAACCTAAAATATAATTTATAACAACTACAGAATGATAACCATAACAATAACAAGATAATAATTATTTAACCTCTAGAATAAAACCAATGTTCAACATTATATTAAAATGATACATTGTAGCTGGCAAAAGCCCTTGAGCAAATATTGGTTGATGAATTGAACGTGATTCAGAAAATGAATGTGGTTTTGACATGAAAGCTCAAGTAATATGATAATCTATTGTCTGTTTTATGTACAGAATTTGTTAGCTGGCTAGAAATGGCAGCTGTAATACACAGTAAAAACAAAAAAAACCTGCTAGACCTTTCTCCACTCAAATCCATCAAAAAAGATAAAACCAAACTCAACAGCACACTGGCTGTTTAACACGTTAATCTACTCATAGATTTTTATTTCAGGTACTGTCCTGGCTCAGTCAATGAAGATAACCTGAATTTTAATCTTTTGTTAGAAATCTAATATTGCACTACACGATAATTTACTTTTCATGATTATTGACCAAAATTTCAATAACAAATTAGGTCAACAAGAATTTATGTTTTGTTCTCACTTTCAGTCACTGTCAGGAATTATAGATCTACTTTGCCTTCAAGAGAGGAGAAGGCAACCCGGGTTTCCTTACTCCTGATTCTGGAACTCTGTCTCTAATTTCAGTCTGGCCTCTTTTGCAGCTTCACAGACAACATCAATATCTACACCTGCTTTGGTCATTCCCATACTTTGGACCTAACCTATCTGTGAAATCAGAGTGAAATCAAACAAACTCCTCATGTTTCAGGTTTTATAGCTGCTCTACCCAAAATTATTTTAATTCAATTGAAGCAGAGTCAAAAATAACTTATTTGAAACTCTCTGATATTAAAGATTTTCAGACTGAAGTAATAAAACAAGCACAGAATTCACATTGCCTTATAGTAGGACTGGGATGGATGCTATCCTGCTTGGAAAACACATGGGCCTGAAGAAGATCAAAGGCAAGCAAGCGTGTTGGAAAAGACTGGCAGTTCTTCGAGGAGACTGATTTTATGCACATGTGGTCCTGCAATATGTCCTCCAGAAAGTTCTCGCTCAAAGCCCCATCTGTTAGCTTTCTGACCCCCAAAGGGCATTTTGGAATCCAGACAAGTTACCATAGTTATAGCACAATAACACTCTGAACTTTTTCCAGAGGAAAGTTTTCCAAAGGAGTGTAAGCACTGCCCTGACAAAGCATGCATGTGTTCTTGGATTGTGCAGAGGCAAAGCAGACATAGTTAATGAAATTCCCAGGAACAGAATCCAAACCCTCTGCCTTCCAAACACATGCCCTACACAGGGAACCCTGAACATGCATACATGTGTGGGAGCACAGAGCAAAGTGGTTCTCTGTGCCACTGTGCACAGAGGAGCTCTTCTTTCTCCCTGCTACATCTTTGCAAAGGGAAGAACTGAGTCTGCAGCTCTGTCTCAAACTCGTCTGAAGAAACACAGAACAGGAGCCACTGACCAAGTCCCCTTTAGGACCTGATCTGGCACCATGAGTGAGGTTCCTCAGCACACCTGTGACTATTTTGGGCACTAATACAGGACACTCTTGCTTGCACAGAGTCTACTACTGCATGGGGAAATTTAAGACACATATAAAGGAATTGATGCAACATTCCACAGCTGCTCCACAAAAGTGGACTGATTGAGAGAGTAGTACAACAAAAAATTACAAAGGCTGCAGATACCATGGTTAAAACTTCACTACATAAAACTTCACCACTTCATCTCTGGGCTAAAATATAAGTTAGGGCAAACCAAGATATAGGTGCAGCTACTCAGCTCTGGCACACAAGTCATTCTGTGGTTGGGAAGATATAACCACAAAGGAAAATGCACTAGAGGGTATTTTTAGTATGTAACTCAAATTTTTAAAAATCCAAACAATACAGTTATAATTCTGTCTTTTTTTCCTCTTTTCTTTTTTTCTCCTATTGCCCACTTAGTCCTATGAGTTTTTGCAGGAATTAAGTCGATAATTTATTTAGCAATGTTACCTCCCTCAGATTTACATTAAAGCATTTATGTTAACAATAACCTCCATGAAATAGGTTGTTACCAGCAGTTAACCAGATTGTCACTTTGCTTTGGGCTGTTAATGGCCTAAGAAACTGGTCTTTGATTGCAGTAATCACTAACTTGAATGAATTTATTGCAATAATTACCGAGACTCAATGGTTTAATTTGCTGACATGATTGTTAGTTAAAATATATTTAAAATCTAGGGAGAAACACAATAAAAGTGCAAGGAAAAACTACAAGCAGAACTGATGGTCTTGTGGCTGCAGGGTTTAATCTTCATGTCTGAAAAGGCCAATTATCAAGGAAGGAAAAGGTTCCCCATCTGCTTTTTTTTTTCATCCTGGTTTCTTTTAGGGCAGAAAGCAAGCAAGCAGGCAACAAGAGGTCAGTGCTTGAAGGAGAGAGAATTTCCATGTACTCTCACATTTCAAGCTGCCTTTCTTTGCCCTTTCTTTATCCACTCCTTGTGGTATGCAGTGGTATCTCTGGCCTGTTAGTGAGACAAAGCCACTGTCTATACCAGTCACTTGGCTTTCCTTTGCCTGTACTCCCCTGGTCCACAATGAAATGCTGCACATTGATAGTGTAGCTGACTTTCTGCAGGGGGTTTGCAGGGAAAGGTCACTCCCACATTAGCTTGGACCATATGGCAGCAACTGAATGAAGCTGAAGTCATTGTCAAAGATGTGAAGGCTGCCCCTGCCATGAAGGAACCCCAATAAATGCTGCTGTGACTACCCAAGGGATCAACTAATATACGTTACCAACTACAGGTACATCTTCAACTAAAGGTCAAACAAAAGGGAACAGGAAATCTTGAAAACAAGCAGAAATGCTTGCCTCAGACACACTTCTAACATGCCTGCTAGATGGTGGGCATGTTTCACTGGTATGAGTTCAGTTTGAAATTCAGACTCAGTTTGCATCTGCAAATAACTCTCCATGTAACAAACAAACAGCCAAGTGTTGGTGAATAGTGCTCTGTCTGGATTGGGTCTACCAATCAAGTATTCAGATATAAATGGTATTTAGCAGCACATACAATTAATGCCTAAATTAAAATTGCTCATCTTTGCTTATGTTTCACTGGTATGAGTTCAGTTTGAAATTCAGACTCAGTTTGCATCTGCAAATAACTCTCCATGTAACAAACAAACAGCCAAGTGTTGGTGAATAGTGCTCTGTCTGGATTGGGTCTACCAATCAAGTATTCAGATATAAATGGTATTTAGCAGCACATACAATTAATGCCTAAATTAAAATTGCTCATCTTTGCTTGTTGAGCCCATTTTTTTTTTTATGAAGGAAATGTATTCAAATGCCTAAACCACTGCAAGGCAGTCAATGGGAGATAAAAAAACCCAGGTGTGACCTATGTTTCCCTGATTCCTCTGGACTCCTGAATGCCTTCAAATTTTGGTCCAGAGATTGTGGTCTTTCTGTTAAAACACTCTTGTATCTATAAAAAAAAAGCCTAATGAAAATCTGAAGTCTGCCTTGGGGAACTTGGCTTGTTGGCACAGGGATCAAGTTCTAATGGGAGAGATCTAAGGTTCCTACCGAATGAGTACATCTACCATGGGACTTAACACCTTCTTAAGGGATGAAGATCATCATGACACCTACAGATGAATCACCCTCATTTCTCAAAGTCCTTATGTAGAGACTTAAGAGTTCTGAAAAAAACCTTAGAGCCTTTGGAAATAACAGAGCAAATGGCAAAGCCTGTCTTTCAACCTTTTATCCCCGAAGTGTTATTTTCCCCCATGACCTCAAACAGTGGACTTTCTTCTGCCTCCCCTTAAAATTTTATCTAGCCCTCTGGAGAACAGAACCACTCCTGATCACTTAAAAATCTGGAGCTTTCCAGAAATTTGTCATCACACAGTTCATCCAGCTCCCTGATCTTTTGGGAAATACATTGATCTCTGTTCAGTTGCACATCTCTGGGAGTTGAAAACCTGAATTATCAAAAAATATTGCATTTGATTCAAGCAAACTCAGAAGACACTAATAACAAATGCAGTGTGATCCAGGTCTCAGTTACTGCAGTGGAAAAGAAGTCAGAAAATTTTGTTTCAAAACTTGAGGCAGATGAGAGAAAAAGCCAGCATATGGAAATAACTATTGATGGACACAATTATGTTTTAACAGAGAATACCAAAGGCTTAAAAGCTCTGAGGAATCAAATTAATGACCTGGAAAACAAGCTCAAATTAAGAAACATCAGGTTGGGGGTGGATCCTTAGGGCCTGCTGATGACAAGCATAGAAAAGGTTTTTTTTATGGATTGTGGAGGTGTTGGGGATGGATAATCCCACTGCAATATATCTCTGCTCATTGTATTTCTAGCAATGACAATGAGGCAACACCCATCGTGATATTTATGAAATGTGCAACACGTTACAGATCACATTGTAACTTTCGACCCATCTGCCTTTTCCAGACTCCAACTGGTATGCTCAGTGGCAGAATGAGGGGTTAGTTCAAGGACTAAAGTTACTCCATTATTACGCTGGTATAAATAAAATGATTCTCTACATTTTTCAGAGATTTTAAAATTAGTGTGCTATTTCAAAAATGATTTTTAAACTTTATCTAAATTTAACTACTACTACCCTCAAATTATTTTCAGAAACATATTGTGATTTTGCTTCTTTGCTTGTCCTAGTGTGAAGCAGAAAGAAGTGCCTCAACTCAAAATCATAAAACCACAAAATTGTTAACAGAATGGAACTGGACTCTTTGGTTATTTATAAAGTGTTCATTTTGTGACTTTATAATCAGAATCATTATTTATGTGGCACCTGTTTGCTCAAGCATTATAGCCATCTCTTGAAGGCACTCTGAAAGGCACAAATTATTAGATGGTATGTCTGCTGAAATACAAAGCATGTATGTCTGAAACATAGGATGGTCATCCTTGGCATTGCTGTGTACACAGTTAAAAGAATAAGAACTGCTCAATGGAATGGCAGTCACTACTTTATTCAATAAAACTGAGAACTGTCTCATGAAAATAGTAAAAAAACCAAATCCTAGCAACCAAATAAATCCCACTTTTAGTAGGATTCTCTTGCCACAGAGGTTAAAGATGATGGAGGGGAAAAAAGAACATTGAAAAGATGCAATGCGAGTGTTGAAGAGCACACTGGGATTGTGGTGGCATCATGAATTCCTTTAGTCTGTGAATGAATCTCATCCAAAAACATGTGGATTCTCTTACGACGGATGGAAATACCAATGCTGTGTCACTTAGGCTTATGGGCTGTAAAGCCCATCTGAATCTACAGCAAAGACATTTATAGAACAGTACTGTGAAATCCCTCATGAATGTTACATCAAAAAAACAGAACTTACTCTTTAGTGCTGGTTATTCTGTGATTCGGTATCGGAGAGATACAAGGTGGGAGCAGGCAAGAAGCTGAAGGGTCCTCCAGGCGCTGCTTCTTGCTTTCAACAAAGGTATCCAGGCTTTCTGTCTGCTTTAACAAAAAAGGTAGAGTGTAAAAGATCCAGCATTTATGTACAACTTCATTGGCCATTAAGAGGATCTCGGGAATCTTAGTGTATTTCCTTCACAGGAGCAGCAGTTAAAATACGGGTCTAAGAGAAGTGAGAGTCACCTGAAATCAGGGCTAAACGTGCTCAAAACACCTGACATGAAGTTATATAACAAGTGACATAGCAGATAATTAGGAAGCAAAATGCCTCGTGTGCTATGGTTATCTTCTGTAGTGCACTGGAATTTAATTAATAATTCAGATGCAATGACTTGATAGCACCAAACCTTACTCAAGTAAATAGCTTTTACTCATTGACTTAATGGAATTTGATGGGAAAACTTCCCTGAGTAAGTATTCCTAACAGGACTAAGAGCACAGGACTGAGCTGGGGTAGTCATTAACAGCAATAGCTCGTTTAAAATTTGCTTTGGAAGACTCCCTGATGCATGACTTTTGTGCCTGAACTAGGATGATACAAGCAAAGCTGATTACTGCTCTGTCACTGGAACATTCATATCAGCCTTCAAGCCCACTAGTAGATGGCTAAAATAAATCTTTTAATAGCATGATTTAGAAACACAAATCAGTTTCTCCCTACCCTGCTATAACTGTTGATACACCCTCAAGTCATCCTAATTGGCTTGTTTCCCCTTGGGTAGCAGTGAACAATCATATTGAACTGAAGGGGCCAATTCAGAGCTTAGCTTATGTACACATTCAGAGTGAGATTCTGCATTTTGTTACTTTCTGATTCAAAGTCTCAGTTAATGAAATTATGAGGTTCCAACTTCCATATAACCTTTTCTTTTTTCTTCAGAGCTTTCAGTTTAGTCGCCAATACTACTACACTGCTTTAGTCAAGATTCCTTCTCCATCATACTGACACTCCACTAAGTTTCCCTGCAAGAATTTTTTTTTGAATAATTAATATGCACCCTGGTGTACTTATACATACACATAAGCATGGACATTTATTCCTTTCCTCTTTCTTCTTTTCTCGCTCCTTCTTACATCTCTGCCTGTAGTGTACAGCTAGAATATAAATTGAATAAGAACCTGCTGAGTTTACTCATGTGATTATTTCCACTTAATTCAACAGGGAAGGAGCCAGTGCAGTGACTCATGTAGGCAGGGGTGCACACCCTGTGCCTGCCTGGCATCGCCTGTCTTTGTCTTGTATTAACTCCCTCGTACCACTGCTTGAACTCAGGATTTTAAGAAGTCCACTAGAGCACACAGCTGAACTCACATTCACAATGATTCAGAAAATTTGGGGTATAAAAAAATGTGCTATGATGACTTCTCACAGGCAGACCAGAGCATAAACATTTCAGCTGGAATAACTGACTACAAAAATTCATTTATGATATAAAACTTCAGTTTCTTCTCTGAAAACACATTTAGTTTGGAGTGCAATGTCATATCCCATAAGATAGGATACCCTTGGGCATAAATAACATAAAACACATGATAAAACCTAACGCCTTCAGTCGAAATATATTTGCTTTTTCAGGTAGCTGTGTAGAGAAAGCAGCTAGTTAGGCAAATGATATTTCTATGAATCACATTTGTTTATACCACAAAACAATATAAAGACTAAATTCACCAGGAGCATAAGCAAGCACCATCCCATTGACTTTGATGAAGCCATGGCTCTTTAAGCCAGTGGTGAAGATGCCTTAATTCTGCAGACAATAAACCCCTGCCTTCCAAATAGAAGTCATATTTTCTCAGTATGGCTGAACCTGTATTAATATAAACTCAGCACTGGGATCTTTCTGCAGATTACAAAACATTGGAAATTAATAGGCAAGTGAGTAAATAAAGCGAAAAAAGACAAATCTCAAAACCAGTACATTATTATCAGCTGGACTTTGCTTTTTACTAGTTTCTGATGCTAATTTGTAGTACGCTTGCAAATGTCTGTCCTTTGTAAAACCAATAAAGTCTAAGTGCCCTGATGCTTCCCTACAGCCCACGTGCAGGTGCAGTGAGGAATCACTGGCTGCAATCTTGACCTTGAGGGTGCTCAGAAACTCAGTGTTTCCCTCTGAACAATGAAAACAACTTACCTTGTGTTTCCTTTTGGATTTTGTGGATGGTTTTTCAGCTGCTGGGGTAGGGGACTCTCGAGATGGTCGCCTGTGTTTCACATTTGCCTCTCTTGGTTCACTTTTCACAGATGTGGCCTCAAAAGGCTCCTGTCCAGGTATCCTAGAGAGTAAACTAAGGTCTATTTTCACCCACAGAGATTTGAGTTCTTCATATTCTCTCAGTGGGGACAGAAGTTCATTTTGTACGATTGGGATAGGAGAAAAGAGCTGCTCCTCCAGGTCATTGCTGGTCTGGTCAATGGATGTGTTGCTGCCATTGCTAGTTAAACTACTTACGCTGAGGATGTTACTGCCAGAGTCCTTCACTTTGGCACCACTGCCAGACCCAGTGCAAGCTGGCAATACCTTAGCCTGCAAGCTCTCCTCCTGGTCTGTGTTTGAGTCAGAAGTAGATGAATCTGTTTCGATGAATTCCCGGGACTTAGGGACAATTTTGCTGGGGCCTCTGTACTTTTTCTTCTCTGAAGTGAGACCTGTGCTAGTCCGTGGTTCTTTCCTTGGAGCTGTCTTCCCAACTGCTGCTTTAGTTCGAACCTTTGGCTGCTCAGGGGGTTCCTGTGGGTCTTTTTCTTTGGGAGTGTTGCTGGTATTATTTGGTTTGGGCCAGTTATACTCTTCTACACTGGAAGTCCTTTCTACCTTTTTGGGTTGCTTTTTCCCAGTAGTCCTTTGTGAAGCTGGCTCATTATGAGCTGGTGACTTCTGCTTGGAGCTTTTTGCCTCTGGGGTTTTCTGGGCAACCCGTGGTTTGGCTTTCTCTCGGATGGGACTAAGGATCGCCCGGTCTTTGGAATCGCTCGGGGGCAGGCTGCTGTTGAGCTTCCCTTTGTTTGGCCCTTCGGCCTGCTGGTTGCTCTGGGCCTGGGAGCTGGTCTCGCTGTGAGGCTCATTTTGATTGTTGATGATGGTCTTGTTGTGGGGGTTCACCTTATTTAGCCATTTATCCAGCTGCCACTTGTTTGTTGAGGGGGGTTCGGGCTGCAGATTGGAGAATGACAAGGAACAAATCTCAGGCAGAAGCAATGCTTTTCCCTTTAAAACAGAACTTTTTTAACGTACCCTTTTATTTCAGTCAACTGCTGGTGACTGCTAGTTTTATGGCAGTATTTATGGAGTATTTATGGTTAATTAGGCTTCCTTATCTGGTTTACAATGTGGCCCTGGAGAAATTTAATACAACTAAAAAGTTTAGCTAGTCCCCGAAGACATAGTTTTGTCATGTTGCCTTTCCTTAGTCCCAGCTGAATACTGTGTCAATAAAATCTTCTCTAGCTACTGGCAAAAATCTAAATATTTCTTTAAAGCAATTCAAATGTAGGCCAGAAAGATTCTTCCAACAGCTAGAATGAGTATGTGGGTCATACATGTGAAACTGTAAAGGGAAAAAAATGTCAGCAGTATCAAACAGCACAGAACTCCAACATCTCCATAACAGGGAGCAGGATTTCGCTCCTTTCCATGCTTCCCCCACCGAGCCCCCACAGGGGAGGAGCTGAGTGTGGCTTTACCTCTGGTGTGGCACTGCGTGACTCCTCATTGCACTCACTGTCACTGGAGCTGCTCTCACTGTCGGAGTCGGTCTCAGAGCTACTCTCGGACTCGCTGGAGCTCCCGGAGCCGCCGCTGGAATGGGCCAAGCCGGACGCGTGTGCTGCGGGCACTGGCAGGCTGCTGTGGGGAGAAGATCCTCTCGTGTCAGTATGCTCTTGTCTTTTTTAAAGAGATGCCTTGGGGGGAGCCACCCAGTGAACCCTGTTCACACTGACTGTCCTCAGTGTCACCTCCCTCTCTTGCAGTAGACCCAATAGCTCCCGGAGCCGCCGCTGGAATGGGCCAAGCCGGACGCGTGTGCTGCGGGCACTGGCAGGCTGCTGTGGGGAGAAGATCCTCTCGTGTCAGTATGCTCTTGTCTTTTTTAAAGAGATGCCTTGGGGGGAGCCACCCAGTGAACCCTGTTCACACTGACTGTCCTCAGTGTCACCTCCCTCTCTTGCAGTAGACCCAATGAGAGCTACTCCAAGACACTGTGGAGCCATCAGAGGAGCTGGTTGGGCTTGTGATTCACAGGACACACCGATAATGGTGTTAATAGCATTACCATCATCATCACCCTCAAATGAGACTTCAGTGTCACAAGCCTGAGCTTATTAGGCCAATGATTGCAAAAACTAACAATCACACTTAAATAATTCATTAATGGAATCATGGTTTCTTCATTTTTTGCCAGTTCATTTATAATTTATGATCAAAGGAAGGACATCAGGCAACTAATATTGGACAGGGCATTTTAAAAATTAATTTTAATGAATACTTTTACACTGCAATGTACAAAAACTACATATTTTTGACAAGTCTTCAGAGACTGCCCAGGAATTTTTTATTTATAATTTTTTTTCCTCTTATGTTTATGATAATGCAGTGAGAAAATAGCATTCATGCTGAAAATAGACCTCTCTGTGAAATCTATTTTTCTGCATGTTCAACTGTCCTCTAAGATATATTTATTAGCAGTGCACTGGGAGTCATTGTTTTTCCTCAGCATTTATTTCTAAACTGGGGTTGGATGAGCCCAGCTTTTAGCACTACAGAATTCTGCCAGTCTGAGTCTTTATAAACTCATCTTTAATTTCAACATTTTTTTGTCAGGGAGATAACCATAAGGTTTTATGTCTCTTCAGCTGATCTATACAGAGACTTTTGATGATTGATTTTAAATTTGTGAAGCTGACAAAGCAAAGTGTTTGAAAATTGACACCATTTGCTAGTACTCCTTTATGGATATTCAATATTTCACCTTAATATATCATATGCTGTGTGTCCCATATCGAGTGATCCAGAGATGCCTAGAAGTTATAATGCAGCTTTGCCTCCATTTCTGCAATCTGTTTTTCTACTTTCCTCCCAGAAGGATTCACGTAAGCTAGGTACATGCTTTCCTACCCCTTTCAAACCAAGATGCTCTGTGCATCAAGATGCCCTCTTACAAAACATAGTAACCAAGAAACTGGAAGTAGGAAAAGCCAGAACAAACTGATGTGTGACCCTGCTCTGTTAGAATCTTCACAAGCATTGCCACTGGCTTCCGTGACAATAATATATGGTCTTTAATTTTCTTCTCATGCTAAGCTACTCTCTCTCCCCCTCCTTGTTGGTAAACCTATCGCTTACTCTGCGGTTGGTAACATAACTGTCTCTTTGAGCCTTGCAATGGCCCTGCAGTGCCCATTGACAAAACAGCTTGGTGCTTTAGGGTGCATTAATGAAACAAAATTACTCACTTGGGTAATTGCTACAGATCACTAACTTTGTTGCTCATTAAGTCCATATACCTTTTTTTTTTGTTTTAATTCTTCTAGGGGCTCCTCACTCAACTGACTCAAGTAGAGCTACTTAGAAAATCTCAACTGGAACTAACAGGTAATTCAAAGAACAGACCATCATTTCCAGAAGTATTATGGAAAACTAAACATTGCAGAATTAAAATAGATCTTACATTTTGTATTTAATGCAATTACTTTTGGACACCATTTGCGCACTTATATTTCTTCCTTTATCCCTCCTTTTCAGTGACATTCAAGAAAGTGCAAAGAAGCACATTTTTCACTTATTTTTTTTTTTAAACGGTAAACAAGAAAACAGAAGAGTGGAGAAAAGGGAATGTGTTTCTAGGGGAGTTTGCCTTTCAATTCAATATCTTGTAATTTTGGTCTTATATTTTCTATTTGGAAACCACTAGAAGTAGATGAAAACTGAGCTTTCCTATTTCATTGCAAATATTTCCTAGAATAATTAGAAAAAATTAGAACACACTACAAAGATTCCCAAACTGAGTATGCAAACACGGCAGTTCCATTCTAAAATACCAAAATGATCCATCAGCCTTGAAAAAAAAAGTGTTTATGGAATTATCAGAAGACTGAAGTTGTAATTTACAAACAACTTTTTCCCTAAATCTGAGAGCTTCTCGCTTTTTGTTTTCACCCCAAACTGGAAGTGAACATGGCAATATTAATGTTTCAACCCTGCTGAAAACTCCAGTTCCCACAACCCTAGGAGTGAGTGGGCTGTGAAGACGAAGAGATGTTCAACCCTTTGCAGCCTCTCCAGCACTCTGTCTGGGCACACAGCTGCCTGGCACATGCTGGTCCTGCAGAGAGCAGCAGGCACATGGTTGCCCCAAGCTGGTGGGGACCAGCCACGTCCTCTGATTAGCTGATGTCTGCAGGGAATTTATACACCTTTGCAGCAGGGCATACAAACCTGCACCAAACTCTTGCAGGGGCAAAGCTGCTTGCCTGGAGTGGTTTTTGCCCATGGAACTTCCACACAGAAGGATGTGTGGGGCTGCTCACACATCTGTGCACAACTGCCTAAGAAAATGCTCTGTTGTCTGGGCTGGCAAGTTTGCTGTCATTAAGATAACTGATGTAAAGAATAACACCTCTTATAACAGATCAAAGAAGGAAAAGGCAGTGTCCCAGCTGCTAAGGCCAGACCTTTTCAGCCTTTAAACACAACCTATGTCTCTTAGCACTCTGGAACTAACACTGTAGCTGGGATGTGCTTAGAAAACAACTGGAGTTGTACTGTAGCAGACTGCAACTGTCTGACAAAGAACTCAAAGGGCAAAGATAAAACCATGGAAGTAGATGGCAGCTCCAACCTGGCCTTATTTTCTTTCTTTCTGCACACCAGCCTCAGAAAAAGTTACCATATGCCAAAAATTACTGAATAACACAGCTCAGCAAGCTTGCAGGAACCAGACAGGCTCAAAATAACGTTTTTCATACAAAACACAATGAGGTCATATTTGTCTTTCATCTGGGATAATAAAATTATGCCTTGGCTACACTGGGCAGATTCATGCTGAAGGCATCATTGCTGATCCTCATTACTGCAGTAGAAGCATTCACTTTTCATCATGTAGTTTGGGTTAAGAGCAACTGTGTATGCTTTGTAAAACAATCAGATAAGACCAAAAATGCTTTTCCTAGCATCTCACCAGGCTAAAGATAGAGAGATCTTGCACACAGCTACAAGCACAATCAACTTCTTATAATGCTCTTGAGCATCGAAGAAAAAAATGTACACACAATCAACTTCTTATAATGCTGTTGAGCATGGAAGAAAAAATGTACAGACACATATAAGTGCATAAAAAATAATCTTTGCTTTCAATAAAATTAGTTTAGTGAAGATTCTGGATTGCCTTCTGCTTTTCCCCCCCTTACATAAAATGTTTCTCTTAGTTAAAAAAACAGGTTGGTTTGCACACTTCTTCAGCTTTAAAGTTCAATCACATTTTAAAAGATGTTGGGCTAGATTCTGCAAATGTGCATTCAAGAAGCTGTTACACAAATAAACTGGGCTTCTTCACATAGGTGTCCACTACGTGAACTGGGGGTTGCCTCTCAAAGAGACTTTCAAAGCAAGCTTTGTTATGTTGCTAAGATCCAGACAAGGAATGCTAGTCTGGACAAGGTTTAAAATGGATTTAAAACATTTTATCATCAGACACAAGTCCTCAAAGTGACTAAAGAGGGCAGGAAGCACTGGTATTTGAAACCCTTGAATTTTTATTTCCCAGTAGGAGATGAACACTCATATTGTTCCTCAGTGTTTGGGTGGACAATGTTTTTATTTCATGTGAACTGAAAAAAATATTAATAAAAACAATGCTGCACAATGGAACATAGCATTGTTTGGGTAAATAACACTTAGAAGAAAGCCAGTTCATTATTATCACTTGGGATTGGAGGCCCCTACTGAGACCAGTGACCTGCTGTGCTGGGATCTGTGTAAATACATGATGAGACACAGTCCTTGGGCCAAAGAGCTTGCAATCCAAACACACAAAGCAAACATTAGAGGTATTACAGTCATCCTCATACTCAGTGTGGGCCTGTCACATTCTCTAAGTGCAAGGTCTCTCTGGAGTTAATAGAAATATCAGTTTCACCCCCTTTTAAGTTTGTTCTCCTTGTTTTCCAAGCCCTGTGCTCAGCACTTGGTCTGAATCCTGCAGGGCAGTCAGATGTGCTCTGCCTTGTCCCAGAGTCCTGACCATGGCTGTGCTGCCTGGGAGGAGAGAGGCACATGTGACTTGGCAGCAAGGACCCCCATACTCAGGGCAGATGGATCAGTGGCTGCTCACATCTCTCCTAAGGAGCTTCTCCTGTGCCATGGAGATAAGAGCCACTGGAGTGACACCCACACTGCAGGTGGAAGGGGAACCAGACCTCCATCTTTTGCAAAGGTCATAATGATGGTGTCTCTAGTAGCCTGCAGACTGATAAGCTGGTCTCCTTTCTGCTATTGAACGATGAAGCAGGCAGAAGGACCTGCACATCTGGAAGCAATTTGGAAGGAAGTTCCTCTGCAGCACATTCACCCACCTCCCTTCTTCTGCTTTTGCAGCACACAGCCCTGTCCCTTGCTGCTTGGCAGCGTGACTGTGCAGTGTGGGCACAAAGTATGAGATGAGAAATGCCTTGAAGGAAGGGACAAACACCAGTATCACCCGTATCCGCCAGTGATTTTCAGCCCTTGTTGAGGTCAACCTTAACTGCAGAGCAGCTGAGACTTGCAGGTGTGTGGCTGCTGATAGCTCCTGTTGATGAACTGCATCGAGCTCATCACACACCAATCAACTTTCTTTCACTGCAGTTTGC